GGGGGCCCAGGCGCGCTCCTCCGGGCCCGTGAGGCGGGCAGGGCCTTGCTTCCAGGACAGCTGGCCTTCTTTTCCCCCCAGCTTCGCTGCTGTAGGCATCCGGAGGGCCAGAAGGGGACAGAGAAGTTCTGACCACTCTTTCTGGCCAATCCTTCAAAGACCAGTCTTGGCTTTAGCAGACAGGAAAGCTGCGTATTGTCCCCTTGCCCATAATATTAATCAGAAAGAGCTAGTCCTGTAAAAAGCTCTGATTTTTTTCATGGTTTCTGTCTTCAGTTGTAGAAGTGAGAACAGATTTATTGCCAGTGCTCCTCTACAACATAAACTCACTCTTAACTATACAGATGCTTCCCAATCTACAACACTGAAGTTACTGAAGACCAAGATGGTATAATAATGCAGCTCACAAAAAGATTATAAGAGAATTAAATGACCATAACTATGTAGTCTTAAACATTAACAAGCAGGTGAAGTGATGGTAAATATACCAATATTGAAAATACACGGCCAACTTTTCACTCGCTGGCTTGTGAAAACCTCTGTGACAATAGTACCCATGACAGCAATGTGGAGTTTTCTTAGCAAGTGTCAGGTTCTCCTTCGACTACAAATGGCAGATTAACAGTGAAACACACTGGGAAATACCAATGTCTTTAGGATTAGACTATTAAAGAGGGAAAAAGCCTCCATTTACAGAAAAGCAACGCATCTCTAATGAGATCTATAATTTTATTCTTTCTGTGCCTCACAACTGTATTGGTGGCTCTCGTGTATCAAAATTAAAATGTTGGCAGCATGAGTCCTGAGACAGAAATGCCTTAATTCAACACTTTTTTTATACTGAGGACTAGCATTTGGAAAGAAAATCGATAGCTGAGTGTGAAAAGTTCAGACGGCAGAGCCTGCCTCATCAGAGGCAGGCAGGTAGGTGGATTAGTCCTTCTGTGCTGTATTTCCGCAGCTTTGAAGTTATCTGCATGAAGAGAAATCACCGTGAAAACAGTCTTACTGTCCAGACTTTCCTAGATGCTCCTTTTTTTCCCCTATATAGAAATATTATTCAAAGGGAATATCAAGATTTTGAAGGCTTGTCTGGAATTTCTGCATACCCTGCCGCTTTCTCAGAGGCAGGACAGTAGATTTACCAGATGCAATTAATTCACAGCATGTCCAATGCATAAATAGCAAAAAGCACGAGCAAAACTTGATGCCATCTTGAGCTGTTGGACACTCTGTGCATGTGCACATTAAATGGAGAACACATTTGATAAGCCGAGCTCTTGCTGCGTAGGTTGGGTCTCCTGCACACTTGCCATGTTGGTAGCTCAGACAGTACCTCCCCCACCTGCAAGGCACAGCACACGGAGTACATTTGTGCAAGTTCTCTGGACATGTACATGTGATACAACCCAGGTGTGCCAACCGTACTGCAAATGTATTAAACTACATGAGCAATGGAGAATATGAAGCAGAAACATAGGAGCTTTACCCTAAAACCAGCAAGGAATTCCTCTCAATAGTCCCCAAAGTGGCTTCTTTCATGGAGCGGGTACCCGTGCTTAAAACAGAAGCACCTCAGAGCCAGAAGCAGCCTTCTTCTCACCTCTGAAGAAGCTGACAGGATTATGAAACTGAATTAAATCTAAAAATTCTTGTAATTCAAGTTAGCTACTTTGTTAAAATACCTATAGGAATACTTCAATAGAGAGCAGATTTACTGGAAAAAACGTAAAAACCAGGAAGTGTAAGCCAATTAAGAAAAACATACAATTCATCAGAGTTAAGTATTTTCAGGTGTTTGCAAACAGTACTGAATGCCTTGAAATCAAGGAATGAACATACAATACATGCACTCACCATAAGCTTACCAGGAACATTGGCTAAAATTACACAGCGTGTGCGTACACATCCAAGCACATACACTTTCGCTAAACTATTACAATGAAGTTTATTTTACATGGATCTTTCACTTCCTTCCTACACACATTGGAAATGCTTGAAGCAAATAAAAAACTCTGTTACTACAAATGCAGTTGCTACAGAGTACATGACATGCAACCAGCTCATGAATATTATTCAGGGTATTTGATGATTGCATATTTCAGAATTAATTTTGCATATAAGCAGTGTATCCCACAGGTATCAGCAACTCTCCTAGCACAGATCAGCTGCTGGAAATGTATTGAACAGTGCATCCCCAAGTGACACTTCTGTCCTCTTCATTTGGAGGCTTTTTATGTAAAAAGCCAAGGAATTACTTAGCTATTGAGTATGCGTTTAATTACCATAAGACTTGCCTCTCTCAAATGCAAGTATGTTAAGTGGTGCTTGATATAGATTTCCTGGTTTCCCTAAAATGAGTATTTAGCAATCATCTTAAGTTCAGTCCACCAGAAGAACAAATTACACAGAAAAATTCTTGTCAGCACACAAGTTCTGATGCTAAAAAGCAAATTGGGATAATGCCAGGGGAATGACTGCAGACACTGAAATCACAGCCCTAATAGAATGTCTTTGACAAACTGGTCCCACAGCTCAGATGTCTGCTCCGCCCCGGATGTATAGGCATTTGAGCTGCCTGTCATTCAGCTCCTGAACTAAACCACTGCAATACTGGGTGGGATGAGTCAGGAGTGTAATAGGAAAGGTTAAACCGAAACCTTGCCTGCACTGGAGATACCTTGTACAACACTCCTCCTTCGTCATTCTGCTAGAAGTCCCAGAAGCCCTTCCAAACATCAGCCTCCTCCACCAACCATTACCACCAAGTATCAAATCTGTCAATCTGATACCTTTGCAATATGCTGCGGCATACACTGAAGGTTTGGGGGTCCACAGTGGTGCTCACACAAGTGTTAGTAACGTAGATGAGGCCACCAACATAACAGCTAAATGTCTTAAAGTCAACTATTTTCTATGGCAGACTCACATTAAGACATGGTAAAAATTCAGCACAACAATATTTTTAGTGGGAAAAACCCTTTTAACGCAACTTTGTAAGAATGGCTGTTATTATCACACCCATAATAGCTCTTATAAAGTAGCATTTTCATACCTGGGGATGCTTTCCAAGAAAGGTTCCATATGTACACTTCATGTTTAAAGGAAGATTTCATCAGTTTCATTTGGAAACTGTAGTTCTTTAGTGTTCAGACTTCTCAAGCCAAAACCCAAGAAACTAATAGGTAACAGTCTCTCAAGTCAGCAGCTAAGGAATAGGTTATACAGGAATTAATACAAGTATCAGAGAAATAATTTTACTTTGCTTTACGAAGTATGTGATGAACTTTGCTTTCTCTGCTGTTTCCCTGTGCTGCAAAATGGCTTTGATCCTCCCCTGTTGGATGGAGGACAACAACATGCCCAGGAATAGCTTCCAAGGTGGGAATCAAAACTAACATTAAGATTTGCAGGTTTTCACGTTCTTCATTTCCTCTGACAAGGAAGATCAAGTGTGTTTTTAAGACTAAGTGAATATGGTCAGGCAATATAACATAACCTAGGTGCTGAGCTCTGCCTAGGAAGGATGTCTTGGCTCTTCACATATGTAACCTGTCCTTGCATGTGTCCCCCACTGATTTCACCAGCAGCTGCATTTGGCTCAAAACAGTAACTGCAAATACCATGTTATATTCATTAACAAGTCTAAGGATTTTTTCTGCATCACTCAGTAATTCTAAGAAAGCAGGTTTTCACAAATGAATGGTTGGGCACTGTGATCAGTTCACTCAGACTCTCAAACAGTGATGCTATTTTCAATGAATCAATATAACTGATCACAAATAGATTATCATTTGTTTATCATGCATTATAGAAAGTATTTGACTAATCACGACAGGAAGCTTCCGATGACCAA